TGCGGTCCCGATTCAGGTTGTCAGCCTAAATATAACACTTGATGCAGTTGAAGCCGCTGAGGTGACTATGTGCCGTTCCTGAGGCCGTTGCTCAAATGACTAGAGGCGTTGGGTAGTACATTAATTAATAGACGAGATCTATTATTAATCTTGCCTTTGTACACCTAGGCTGTTCTTCGACCCAAACCACAACCTCATCTATGATCTCCTTCTGGAAGGCAGGAGTTTCGTCCCACATTATGCCCTTTATCTCCCGATGGGAAGCCTTAAACTGTCACACTTATAACAATGCAAACACATCTACTAGTGCACAGCGGGCTTAGTCTTTAATATTATAGTAGACTAAAATTTTGCCTACATGTTAATGTCTATGGAAATCACATTTATGTAATTTAACCTAAAATTGTAAATGTTTGCTTTAATACTCTGTGGTTGAGTGCACAATACGTGCACAGAAAACATACTTTTCTTAAAAGCATTTGCTTTAAAGCATTATTATTGTTGTTTCTGATTTTTGCTGTTAGTAGATTGCATGCATCAAAACTTATTCGAAGGTCATGCGACTGTGCAATATAAAGTGTCCATCTGCGATGCGCGTTCGCGTTGTGTGCTTAATTTCGCACCTAGAATCGCTGCGATGGCCCCTATTCTTGGATATTGGAATGTCACTGGGGTGCGTGAGACAATTGTACTGCATCAAAAGGGGTGCGGTCTAATGAACGCAGGCACTTGACCTTTAGTGCACATTTTCACAATTATTACACCTTTTACTCTATCCAGTCGTCTTTGCAGTTAGTTCAAGACGATTTGACCCCTATTTATCAACACGTCTGTTCTTTTTTACCCAGCTTGGGGAGCAAATTCGACTTCTGTTGAAGTACCTGAAGGTGGACTTCGTCGACAAGCAATACAAGCTTGGTCCACGTAGGTGATAGCATTTTTTATCCCATATACCTACTTCAGCTCCTGCTTTCGACAAAAGTGCGTGGTTTTCGGACAAGTTTACCTTAGGTCTGGCCATACCCAATGTAGGTCGTCCACTCATGCTGCTTCTACAGCTAGCGTGTCTGATAGTTGCCTTACTACATCGACGGTGACTTCAAGTTGACTCAGTCAGGGGCTATTATGGAGTACATTGCGGACGTACATGACATGGGTAGGCTTGACCAGCTTTTTTGACTGTTAAGTTGCTTAATTTGACTTTGTTACGGCGTTTGTAGTTGCTTGTGTTTGTGTTTGTTGCTGTGTTTGAATTGCAGTGCCCAAATGCAAGAAACGACGTGCGGTGTTGCACATGCTGCAGTGCGAGGTTATGGATCTGCGCATGTCGTTTGCCAAAGCTTTCTTTAGTCCTGATAGTGTGAGTGGTTGATTTGTGGAAGCATCGGTGTGATCGTATGTGGTAGAATTATTTCTGAGGAATGGATTGTTTTGGCGTTTACAGGAGAAGCTGAAGCCCGCCTTCTTTGAGACACTGGCGCAGAAACTGCCTCAATTCGAGGCCTTCATGGGTGAGAAGGACTGGCTTACTGGCGACGAGGTGAGTGTATTTTGATAGCCTCGAATTCACTTGATACTACTGACCAGGTTGGTTTGGTGGTTTCGTGGAGTCTAATCTGAATTGTTTTTGAGTTATAAGCTCTGCATATGAAGTGATTACTGAATGGCTTAAAGACTTTATCAGTTCTTGGCGAGGGGCGCCTCATTGGTGTTTGCTCTCTTTAGATCAACTACCCCGACTTTGCTCTGTGTGATCTGTTGATGCAGGTGATGGGATACGATCCAACTTATCTAAAGAATTATCACAAACTAGAGGCCTACTTATTGCGCTTCAAGGTAATGGGATTGACTGTTTGTTGATGGTGGGAAGGTAGATGTGTGCGCTTCTTCTTGTCAAGTTCATGTAACTTTTTTGCCCGCAGAACTTGCCCGCTCTGAAGGATTACCTGGCTTCGAAGTAGCTCTTGCTGTAACAATCGACTTACAATGAGTGAATTTTTCATGTCGGGACTTAGCTGCTTTCGCTTGTTGCTATCATTTCGCCTGACAGCTTGAGTGGTATGGGGAGTAAAATAAAGTGCTAGTTGTCGGGTTTTGCGTCTTATCTGGGGTACGGAACGGTGAAAAGAGGTGAGTGAGACGGGGATGGTTAATTTGGAGTGTCCCCTGTCCGAATGCTCTTTTATTTTAAGTGGTTTTAATAGATAGTTCGGTTTTGTGGGGGATGGGAGCTGTCCGCAGGGGAAGGGTGTGTGGGCAGTGACTCCGCATTTCACATCAGCCAATGTGGTTGTGCTCGATGCCTGAACCAGTTTTGTCCAATCGACGTAGAAGGAGTATTTTGTAAAGCAAATTCTCCCATCTTACTGTCAAAAATCGAGTCAATCCCCTCGTGACCTGATGGAATGAAGGCGCCGCGAGGATGCGCATGACCCTAGCTGAGCTGGCTACAGGTGGGGAACACGAGGCTCCTCGCCATTGTCAATGAAAGCAGTTATCGTCAGGTACTTTGAGGCAGGAGTCTGTGAAGATGTTGTTTCTGCCAATTTCTCCACATCTACCACCAATTAATGCTCGAATACTGATGGCAGTTTCCTCGAATGATGGAATGGACTCTGTTCACCAGCTCTCATGCGAGCTGTGCTGTTGGACCGAGAGTAATATCACTGTAGAATGGGCTCCACATCCCATGGTCGTATTCCACGAAATTGTCCAACTCGGGTCACTTCACTACTCTATTTAGCCGCTGACCGACTTTCTTACTGAATAATCAAATTGGTAGGGTAAACCTACTCTGCTGTTCCGTATGGCTTCTGCATGGCCATCCACGTTGTTCCCAATGCCAGATTTTGGACACCGAGGAACTCGCAAAGACATTAGCTTAATGGTAGCCAGTAGAAGGAGGTTGTAGTGCTCAGAGGTGTAACTTATTGCAAGGGATGAATGCTGCATACCGTAGAGAACTACATAAAGCAAACCCCATAAATTAAGCAGGACTAGGTACACTGTTGGTGCAGCCTCGATGACAGTCGTAAACAAACGCCACAACAGCATTTTTAAAAAATGCTGTCTGGTTGATCGGACAACATCTCATTTTCATAGCCTCACATCAACAAATGTTTATATGTAGTGTCTTTTCCAAACCATTACCCTCGACTAAAGATCTTAAGTATTCAAATCGCTGTCACAGCATTAGAAACTGTTTATGACGGAAATTAATATATATATAATATATATATAATGCATACCACTGCGTGTCAATTGTGCTAACAAGGGAGAGGTTGTCTTTTGGTACAAATTCCATGCCAAAGGAGTGTACGAACAGCACTCCAGTGTGAAGTAAAAGACTTGCATTAGCCATACTGCACTTTCCCCGCACTCTATAGTAGGCACCAAGTAAAGCTCCTTATTGAAAGCTTTTACTGTAATGCTTCGGGCCACGCTCAGGCCCCAGTTGCCCCGTTGTCTTCGGAATACATGTAGTCAACCTCACTTATGCCTCCTTCCACCCCATGGGAAGCCTCGGGACGCTACACTGGTGACAGCGGAAAGCGAACCCGACATTTTTTTTAACGACTTTAGGTATATAAAGCTTTTGAATGCCCTCTGCTACAGCCGAGGTGAGGTCTCTCTCTGCGGCTTGTTCTTCACTGGTTGTTTGTTAAAAGCGATATAGTGTCCGAGAAAGACTATTGCCCAAGAGACACCGCTGTCTTACTGACATCCTACGTTTGTGCTACTAAACTTTGTAAATTAGTCGACTGATTTTCGAAGAGAACAGTACGAACAAACCGACGAGCAACGGTTCGATCGGATTTAGCACTGGTTCAGTACATGCAGATACCCCAAAATCGGGTCTCCTCGACCGGAAAGTCGAAACCTTCCTTTTCATCACAAAAAAGTCAAAATCAAAAGAATTCTACTTTTAGTGGAGAAATCCACGATTAAACGGCGCATTTTGGCGTTTTACACTGGCACTCATGAGCTAAACATACGTAGAAGGAAGTCTGAATCTATCGAAGCGCAGTAGAGGAAGATGCAGGCAAAAAGGGCCATGAATTGAAGGAGGCGCATTTATCTTGGTGTCGAAGAATCTCTGAATCCTTCACAACTAAAGGATTCTGAGTCACGTCTACATTTGGTTTCACCTTATTTCCGTGTTCCTTAGACAAGCTATTAACAACTGAAGCGACACCGACGTGAACTATCTGGATAAGATTCGTGTCGGAAGTTATCATAGAAAATCCGTGTGTAGGAGTCGGAAGTGACACCACGGTTTTCCTACATACGGGACAGTGGCTCATCCCGTTTCCCCTGTAACATATATGTTTCAGACGAGAGTTCCACCATCTATTTCTGGAAGCAATTGATGTTCAACAGGTGTATGCGGCCTCGAATCTGGTTGTCAGACCGAACGTAACTTCAGATTCAGTAGAAGCTGCCGAGGAGATCAGGTACGGTTCCTCAGTCTGATACTATCTGTCGACTGGCGCGGTTTGCTCCTGGGTGCTTTCTTTTAGTACCGAATGTGTTGTGATGTTGGTGTGGGAGCGCCAAGGACGCCGCTCAAAAGAAGAGAGGGCAGTATAATACTTTGCCTATGTGACTACCGGACGTTTGGCGATGACCTTAGAATGTGTCAGGCCCTGTATACGTGAGCTTGCCTTCGGGCCATGTTCAGACCCCATTTGCCCTGTCGTCTTCGGAATACATATATTTTAACCACACTTGTATCTTCTTCTAACCTGTGAGAAGTTTACTATCTGCAAAGTAGGGTTAATGATTTTGCATATCGGCTGTTGGGAAGCAAAAGTTTTGAAATAGTGACGTAACTTCGCGAAGTGTCGTGAGCCGATTCGATAAAAGTAATCAATCTCAGCAAACTGCGAATGTTTCTGTATTACAATTTAACAAGTCTTGGCACAATTATCTTATTCATATGCCAACCAACTTAGATTATAAGCATGGTCTATGGTAGATAGGAGTTTTAGATCCCAATTATGATTCAGAGGCCTCGCACCTAGACTATAGGCCTTGGTTCACAAAATGTAGTTGTTAATTGTACCATATAGTCATTTAAGACACTGCTCAATTTAAAAAAATCTGTTTTTATAAACAATTGGTTGTTGTAATATTCAAACCCTCCCAAGGTCACCAAGACGCACATTTTATTGTCGCGTCGATCGCGTATCTGTGATTTGTGTCTCTTTCCTTCATTCTTTAAGGCGATGGCACCCATTCTCGGATACTGGAATCTTGTTGAGGTGGGTGCGGCGAATTTTTTATCGCACATTACCTTTTGAACAAGTTCTTTTGATGATGGTGCTTCGTAACACTGTCAGGAAATGTTTTAGTTTATAGCATGCCTAATGGTGCTGTTGACTACTCGATATTCAGTTTTGCCGGGGAGCATGTGCAGTTATTTAGGGGGAATTTTACTCACTTTACTCAACTTGGTCTCCTCACTTGTGCCTAGCGCGCGGAACACATCTGCCTCTTATTAAAGTACCTGGGAGTGGAGTACACTTGCAAGCAGTACAAGCTCGGTCCGGGTAGGTGGGAATAGATTGTATCTTACCTTAACCCTCAGCTCCTACTTATGATCGTAGTGTATGGCTGTCAGACAAATTCTCACTAGGTCTGGACTTTCCTAATGTGGGCAACCCTTTCATTTGTCTTTCTATCACTAATCTTTCCGACAGTTACCCTACTTTATTGATAAAGATTTCAAGTTGACTCAGTCTGGAGCGATTTTGGAGTACATTGCTGATGAGCATGGCATGAGTAAGTCTAATATGCTGTGTAAAGTTATTTTTCTGGTGCTGTTAAGAAGTTACTATTTGTCGTGGCGTGTTCGAATTGCAGTTCCTGACTGTAAGAAGCAACGTGCTGTGCTACACATGCTTCAATGCGAGGTCATGGACTTGCGCGTTTCTTTTGTCGATCACTATATCAATCCCGGCTGTGTAAGTTAATCCTCTATGTAAGTATTATTGACAGTCTACATTGTGAAGTTACTTGTGTGTTTGAGTCCGCTTTGTTTGCCACAGGAGAAGCTGAAACAGAGTTTTCTGCAAATGCTGCTCCAGAAACTGCCAAACTTCGAGGCCTATTTGGGTGACAAGAAGTGGCTTATGGGTGAAAAGGTAAGCAACACCTACTCTATTGTAATCTGAATTTTTTATTGTTCTTTCATCACTAGTATTAGTTTGGTATTGTTAGCTCTGTAAAGTTGCTAACGCGTGTAATGACAGTTGTCATCTCTTATTTTTAGGTAAACTATCCTGACTTTAATCTGTGTGAACTGTTGATGCGTTTGATGGAATTTAACCAATCGTGTCTGAAGAGGTATCCCAAATTGCAGGCTTATCTGTTGCGTTTTCGGGTAATTGAGTGTACTCTATGGCTGTGGCGTGCAATTTTTTGAGGCCCTATCTGACGAGACTTTTAATTTCATCTTCCCTTTGCAGAATTTGCCTGCCTTAAAGGATTACCTAGCTGGGAAGTAGTTTAAGACCAGCTGCAGTAAAGCGGGTGCTGAGCGGTGTCGTGACTATTAGCTAATTGCTGTTGCAGTGAGGTTAGTGCCTTCGCCTTTTATCAATCTTGTATTTGACAGTATAAATTCGTTCGATTAATTAACTAAAAGCACTGCAATTTTGGTCCAAATCGGAATTGTTTGCACTGCAGAAGGCGCGGCAGTGTCGGCCCCTTCGGCACTGTTTTGCGTTCGACAAGTTCTCTGGTGTCGGTGCTGACCCGACTTGAATGGATGATGTTATCAGTTGGCAGCCTTTAGTAGTGAATGCAGGGGGATTCTGTGCTGTCATTGTTTGCTCTATTGTTAGCACGGAAGTGCAAATGACACTTTGGTTCCACGTGTGCTCGTTAAATAATTCTAGATCCCATCCATAATCGCACCGTTCCTTCTCTGTGTTTTGTACCACGATTTTTAAATGTGGGAGAACAAAGTAACATCCTGGGAGGTGCTGCAAAATTGGAAATACTTAAGCTCCGAAACCCTTATTAAGCAAATTGCGGTTCATATTTTTTGTTCTCCATGCTGGTTTGCAAGCTAAATTCTATCACTTTTCTGGGCCACACTTGTCCAAGTCTTCTTAAAATTTGGCTGGTAGAAAGTAAAAGCCATACGACTGTGTCGACGGAATGGATGGCAAAATGAAATTCACGAAGTTTGCCTCCCCATTGTTACCTTCACCGGCTGCTGCCATTTGTCCTAACAATGAGCGTGCTTCTGATCGCACCAAAGACCTTCACTCATATAAAGGGATCGCATTTCGGTCTCCTCAAGGCACTACCTGCAGGGCAACTGTATTGTCAAGACTGTTCTCACGCCCTTGCAGCAATCAAGTTGGCACAGTGCATTACCTAATATTAAGTGGATCGTCAAAAAATTTGGCTTTGACACTCGTAAACATGTGTCACTTCTGTCTGGTCCGAGGTTGGGCTTGCGGTAGACCACGACAATGAATGGGTGGAGCGCTAAAAAGCGTGGACTTGATGGACCCACCTAGTGCCATGGGAGTGTATCAGTTGAGATGTATGTAAACAAAATGATTTTAGCAGACCACCAAAGTAAGATATAAGCGTTGAATTTTGCTTTGTGCGCTTAACAACTTCCTTGTTGGTGATGTCCTGTTCGTGAGGTTTAGCAGACTCATAAGATCCGAGGTTTATCGGTGCCAATGTGAAGGTTAACGTGATGGACTACTCACTCTGCGGCAATGGCGACTAGTAAAAGTTGTCCATGAGAATGTCTTAAGACAAGTCTTAGCTGGGCATAAAGGGCATCCTGGATACCACAGTTGAGTCGCCAAATGGACTTTAAACGACTGATGGAAGCTGTCAATCAAATGGTGAGCGAAACTGTCAGCATTTTAATAGTACTGTCCCCTCCGCGGGCGGATTGGTCCTCGGTGAGGTGAATCTATTCGCTTGGCTGTTGAGAGAAGGGACGATGTCTGAGTCAATACAACTTATGGTTGCTCTGGTACTCCTTTTGCTCCTTTAATTTCGGGCTGGTCTTCGGATCATGTTGGAGTTCTACGTCACCTTCTTCCCTTAGAATGTATGAATTCTGCCCAAATTTGTGCCTTTTTTTACCTGATGGAAAGTCTTGGTGTAATATTTTGAGTATATGACTACCTGATATCTGGTGGTTACTTTGATGCTTGTTTTACCATGTACCCGTTGGTTAGTCCTCTGGCCATGCCAAGGTCCAATCTCTTCCTATCCTCTGAAAACACATATTTTCTCCTTATCTTAATGCCTTCTTCTCTACCTCGTGGGAAGTCTCGGGGCGATTTATTCGACGACTCCCATCTTTGTATCTACCGTTGTGATGACATGTATCAACGGTGCGAAGTGGGCACAGACAAGTTAAGCAGGAGACTCTCCATATTTTGCGCATTCAAAGGGTGAGGAAAGATGTCTGCGTATGGCCCACCTTGTCCCTCAGTCCAACAGACGAACTGTAAGGAACCGAAGCGGCACCACCGTGAACTAAGTGGGGAAGCTTCGTGGTGGCATTCGCCTTACTTCATCCGTGTATAAGTGTTGTAAATGACAATACTCCGGATTGTCTTCCATGCGTCGATGTGTCTGATCCCGTTTTCCTCCGTGTTGCATCTGATTTAGACTAGTGTTTCACTGTCTAATCTTGGGAGCAATTAATGACCAG